AGATACCTGTTCAAATTCTGAGTCATACAGAATTTTGTTTGGGTTTGATGACCAAGAGCGGATGAATAGAAAAGAGGATTTTTCCCGAACTAAAGGAACTGAATGAAATTTGCCAGGTTACAGAGATCTAGATTAGAATTGTTTCTTGGCCACAGAACAATGGCTCTTAATAACTTACAAATCAGCTGTTTACATGAATGACTGCATTTATATTGAAGCAGTAATTTCACGGATTACTCCTAAATGCTGGTTTTTTGGACATCAAGTTTTACAGCCAAGTTTAAGAATTATTAATGTCACAAGCAAGGCAGCTCATCTCAAACACTTAACTTGAGGGAGGCAACTAGTTTATGTTTGAAAATGTCTTTTTTTTTTTGATTCATTTCTATATAGCACCATTAAAGCTTTTTTCCCCCCTCTAAATATCGTTGCAGGACAGTGATGTAAGTAACTGCTTTCAGTTAGATGTTAGAGGTCAAAGAATAAAGAATTACCTAATGAAAACAGCAATCACTTCACTTACTACTGATACAATAAATTAATAAAAGTCACATGCAGATTAATAGAGAAGCATTTATTGATACAATTTAAATAATTGTTGGGTTAAACAAATTACAATTCACACTTAACCACACATAGGAGCATATTTGGAAAGTGCAAGGGAATAAAGAAAATAAAAGTTCAGGGTCTGTGTGATACTCCTTTTTAAAAGATAGCACCTCCAGCTGGGACATGAATTCAGCACTGATTCAGGAGACAAGAGCTCTATCTACTTAATCATCAACAAAACTTCTTGCAACAGTCCAGGTTTCACTTGGAAATCTTGCAGAAATACCAGCCAAGCCCAGCCTTGATTAGACTGCAATGAGATCATTGCTTGAGGAGGTATAGCTGTAGGCTCTTGTAAAGCAGATACTAAAGAGAAATTTATTTAAATGATACATCAGTCTTTCTTGAAATGCATAAACTAGAATGTTTTCATATGTATTAATGTAATATGGATAAAGCTGACTGCAGAACAACTTCAGAGTTCCACAGGATATTGTTAGTACTGGAAGTGAAATAACTTGCTGTCCACCACCCACAATCAACACTATGATTGACAGTATAAGTTGGGCATCTCAGATAAGAGCCCTTTTAAAGTAAAAGTAATCAAGATAATGCAGCTATGGGAGATTTTAACAAGATTCACTTGAACACTGTGACTTTTCACTATTTCCACTAAGATCTCCCTCTTCAGAGGTTTTTTCCTTTAAAAAGCATAAAACACAAACTGAGGCTTGTGAGACTTCCAATTAAAGTCCTCAAAGCTCTCATTTCACCTTCTCTTGAAATACACATGTAGCTATAAAAAGCAAGTCCTTTCTTTCAAGATGTCAAATTAGGCAAGAACAAGCTGCCTTTGGGCAATTTTTTTTGGAATGTTATCACATACACATGCAGAGACCAGAAAAAATGTAAAGCATTTTTGAAAGGGACATTAACAAATAATAGTATGCAATGAAGTGACAACGCTAAAGGACCTTTTTCTTAAATATTAGCAACACCATTTGCACGTGGGTGGGGCAGGTTTTAGAAGACCAGCTATGTTTAAAGATCAAGCAAGCTGTCTCACGCACCATTTTCCTCTGTGCCTATTGCAGCAATAACAAAAAGGGCAAGGGAAAATAAAATAAAATAAAAAGCCTTGTGCCTGGCAGGTGAACTCGGTATTCTGCCCACCCCGTTCAGGACTAGAAGTCTTGTTTCAGTTACAGAAAGAAACGCTACCATGAAGCAGGGAAGGCGCCAGGGCTGGGCCCACTGCTGGGCACCAGCAGCGTGACTGTGCACTGACCTCTCCCGGGGCAAAGCGCTTCCCTCACAACATCAATCATGGAATGGTTTGGGTTGGAAGGGACTTCCAAAGGTCATCCAGTGCAGCCTCCCTGCAACGAGCAGGGACAAAATTCCAGCAGCTGAGCACACGCTTAGCCCCCTGCTAAGGCTGGGCATGTTTTCTCCTCTTTAGTATGCCTTCCCCTCTCCGGTAGTCTGGTGGATCAAAGGACAACTCGTTTTAATTGACTAGATTTCCAGCTAACAAATTGCCAAATAGTATTTGTAGCTCTTCTTGCCCTGGACTCTCCTTATGATATCTGTAATAAAAAACTTCCTGTCCTAGCAGCAAGTGAAGTAGCCACACAACCAGAGAAACTAACACTCAAGATGTGTGTCGCACAGAAAGTGCTGCAAAGTGCTTGCTCAAGAATTTTTCAATTACAGTATTTTATGATGCCACTTTTCTGGCAGTAGTGCCACATATGCTATGGAAAGCAGGAAATATTTACACCACAGCCTGTACATAAAGGGGCAACTTTCTTCAAAAGGTTGATCTTGCTTTTGAGACTGTAAGAAAGGAGTCGGGCAGAATTTTCAAAATCCCCCTTAAGTAGCTGCTATCTAAGACTCCATTCACACCTTGTCACATTCCTCTCCTCAAAAAGTGGCAGTTGACATCATCCACCCTCACTTTCCCGGAGATGCTCTGGACTAGAGTGAGACAGAGCTTCAGAACCAGCTAATGTTTACGCACAGTTTGAATCCACAAAACCAGGTTTTCCACAGGTATCCTGAAGCATTCGGTGCAGTGGGTTTTCCTGGATCCCCCACTGACCAGCCACCAGCCTACCTGAGAAGGGAGGGTACACAGAAAGAGAAGCATGGGTGAAACAGCACCTCCTCATCCATGACAGCCCAATGATCCCTACTCAGGAAGGGTGTAACTCAAGTCCAAGGCTCTCTTCAGCAGAGATGAGGAAAACTTTACATCTCCTGCCTGTTTTAACCACCCAGTATTAAATTATTCTTCCCAGTAGCTTTCCATCACTAGAAGCAGTACAAAAAAACCCCAACCAAACACCATGATGGGTGGGCCAAATCAAGATGGAAAATTTTGCAGCTAAATAAGGGTAGTCCCAGGGACACGAGTTCCTGTCCCTGGTTTCAAAAATAGTACTATACACTCGTATCCAATGATGACAAATGAAAATTTAAACCCAATGACCCAGGTTGTCTCTTATCCCTAGGTCTGGATGGATGGACACAGACTTCTCTTCCATGCTGTGTGGTTCCATCTAATTATTCCCCTGCAACAGACCCAGTTTACAAGGTTCCCAGCCCTAGACACTTCTCTTCACATACCACAGCCACATCCTCATGCCACAAATACTTGAGCCTGTTACTTAATACCTAGGTAACATTATGAATAAGTATCACTGATCAGTCTGTAGATGTAGCACTTATTAGCCACTACTAGAAAGGTGGAATTATTTGAATTGGCAATTAATAGCTCCTACATACATAGTAAAGTAGCTCTTTTCTCCTTTCCTCAAATCCTTCCAGGTTTGCTATTGCATAAATTCGGAGTACTGGTAAGAGGCCAACAGATTGGCAGTCATTTTTCAGCATATACATATTCTGACATTGACTGTTGTCTCAAAAAACAGCAGTAGGGAAGAAATCTAGAAACAGATGGTTTCAAAAGTCCTAACTTGGAAAGTCTGTATCACAGTTGTTTCAAGATTGGAAGAAGGGAACCAACTAGGCAACTCACAATGAAACCAACCGAAAAATAAGATTAGAAGAATTTCTGCTGTGGATAAAACAGGACTTGTTGACCTCTGATACCCTCTGGCACTTTCAAACTGGAAGCAGGCAGAGACCAGAAGACTTGTTAATGACAGCATATACATATATATATATACACAACTTTCCTACAGATCTTGAGCAAAATGTGCTTTGCTAATGAGGATTTTTCTTTCACAAATTCATACGGATCTATTTTAATATCCTTTCACTGTGCAACATGAAAGCTGTCTTAACAGTTAAACACAACAGTTACTGAGGATGAGGGTTCTTAAATCAAAACAAACCCAGATAAAAACCAAAACATTTTCTAGAAAATCTGATGTATTTCTCTAACTCACGTCCAATACACTGAGATTAAAGCTGTGAGTATACAAGAACTTTAAAAAAAAAAAAAAAAAAAAAGGCAACAGAAAGTGCATATATACCCAAGAACGTCCCCCTTCCCGGTCTTTGGAGAATAAATTTGGTCGCTAGCCACAAGACCTTTTTGTTTAAAGGAGGAGGGAGGTACAAAAGGCTTCCCTAATTACTTAGAATTTGCAAGTGCAACAGCAGCAGAGAAAACTCAGCCTCCGAGCCGGGAGTTTCGGTCTCTATACCCTCTTACGCCAGGAGCCCGGAGGGAAAAGAGGGAGGGAACAGCCCAGCACAGGGTTTCGGGTCCCACAGCCCGCAACGACGGCACCGGCTGTTTAATGGGCAGCAAGAGTGGCCAGAAGCGGCAGGTCGGGGCCCCCGGAGCTGCCGGGATGCGCCCCGTCCCCACGGGTCCCCGCTCCCCGGACACCCAGAGCGGCCCCGGGGCAGGGCCGGGAGGGGGCCGGCCCAGCGGCACCTGCGCTGGGCGCGCTGCCCCGCGGTACCTGCGCCAGGGGCCGGGCCGGGCCCGCTGCCCCCGCCGGGCTGTCACCGCCGCGGGCACGGCAACATGGAGCCGGCCGGACCCACCTCCCCGCCCCGCCGGCGCCGCTCACCTTGGTGATGATGAGGGGCTCTCCGTGCTCCCGTCCGCCCTTCACCGTGAAGCCCCAGGGAGCCCCACCGGTCAGCTGCACCTCCACCAGCTTGTAGCCCTCGGCTGCCCGCTGCTCCACCATCACCATCACGGGGCCCGGCTCCACCAGCACGGTGCCGAGTCGCGGGTCGCCGCCGGCCAGCCGCTCCCGCCCGGCCCGCAGCCCCACGTCCTCCATGGAGCGCCGGTCGCGGCCGGGGCTGTCTCTTCTCTGCCGGCCGCTCCCCGGTGCGCGCCCGCCGGCGGCCCCAGCCGAGACACCTACCCGCCCCGCAGCGCCGGCCGGCCCGGCCCCATCGGCGGCGAGCGAGGGCTGCTCCGCCCGCCCCCTCCTCCTCCTCCTCCTCCCCGCAGCCCGCGGTATTGTCTCACGCCGAGGCCAGAGCCCGGCGGCGGGGGGGCGGCTCCAACTTGTGGCAACTTGGCGGCGGGGCAAACGCCGCCGAGCAGCGCGGGGCGCCGGGCGGGGAGAGGGGCCCCCGCCTCCCTCTCGCCCCGAAAAGAGGACGAAACTCGCGTTCCGCCCGCTCGGCCCTCCCCGGGAGCGGCAGCCCCACGGCGCGATCCCCTGGACGAGGAGGAACAGATGCAGGGCGAGGTGGGGGAGCAGTCCCGGACCGACCGCCAGACAAAGGCGGCTGCGACAAGGTCCGTGAGCCCCGAGCAGCCCCGGGGCCGTGCCCGGGCCACCCCCGCCCCGCCACACGCAGGGGCAGCCGCGCCTCCCCCACACCCCCGTTGCCAAACAAAAGCGGCGAGCAGGTGGAGGGCGGGGAAAAGGGCAGCCGGCGCCTGTGGCCGCCCCCCAGGCCAGGGACGCCCCGCCTTCGCGGTGCCTGGCGGTGGGAGGCCGGGGTAGGGAGCTGAGAGGGGGACGGCTCTTCCCGTCTCGCCGCGGTGTTCGGGAAGGGTGAGCGGGGGGAAACCGGGCAGTGCGGGGGGCACTCAGGGAGCCGCCGAGGGAGGGAGGCGCTTCCTGCCGGCCGCGCCCCCTGCCCCGCGCTGCCTCCACCACCTGTGGGGCGGAGGGGCCCCGCAGTCTCGGTCCGGGTTCTCCCGCCGAGCCCCCCTAGCGGCAACCCCGCACCAGCGCCCGCCCCAGGTCGGGACGGGCTTGGCGCCAGGATGCAGCCATGGGAAAGACAGGTGAAGCCTACAGCAGATGAACCCAACGGGGAAGAGGTTTGGAGTCCCAGACTGAAAAAAGTTTGATGGCAGAGTGCGAGGCAGAATTGGAATTGCTAATCTTCACGCAAATCTTATTTTATGGATAGGAAATAAGGTTTAGGGTTGCCTGATACCGACATTCAGTTGGGGGTGGGGGCTGGGAGTAAAATGCTTATTTCTTGTAATCCTCTCAGCTCATTTGCATCACTTTACAGGAAGCTTCAGTGCCTTAAGTCAGGACCAGAATTGGCCTGGAATACTTGTGTGCCAGGATTTCACGACCAATCAGATAAAGTACTGCTTGATCTAAGTAAGACATAGGGAAATCTCTATTTTAGTTTCTGAAAGACTAGTGAACTTCAAGGGACTTTCTCCTGTGACAAGCTGTCTCCTAGCTTGTCACAAGTATATGCACTGGGATTTCAAGGTTTTGTATATTGATGTGACATTTCACGTATTTTGCTTTCTGAAAGTGACCATTATGCCATTCTAATTATGTAGTCTGATCCCCTAACTCCTGTTTCAGCTGGTTTATTCCTCCTGAAACTAACCTGTCTTGCATCAAAGCAATTTGTTTCTGTTATGCTTCCAACATTACCTACAGGGTGTTTCTCTAATACTTAAAGAGAACATTGGTTTCAGAATTGAGAGCATCTGAATCATCAGTCACAGCAGCAGACTGGAGAACATTTAGGAACAAGAAAAATACATCATTGGTATGATTAAGGGATAGAAGGAACAATGGAGAGAGCACCGAAACTTATACATCCTTCTGTGAGAATCCTGCTAAATACAAACCTTTTACCAAACCTAGGTATAGCATCAAGTTACTTGAGGCCTCTAATGACTTTCAGATCCTCAGTCAGATTTCTTCTCTAATTATTTTCTGTCTTATAGACAAATAGAAGTACAAGTGGTTTACTCAATGTCCTGTCTCCAGTTGTTCTTAGAATCTGAGATAAAGTCTACAGTGATGTTTGTACAAGACATACTAGGTTGTCTACACAGCAATGTATAACCTACAGCTGGAAGATTTAAAGAGCAGCAGTATACAATCTGGTTTTTGTAAGCATGGTAATAGGAGAAGGACTCAGAATAACAACCTGAACTTTAGTGTATCCCCAAGTATGCCAAATGAAATGAAATGGAAATAAAATAGCTTACGTCACTAATGAGAAGAGCAAATTCTGCATTCTAAAAGGCTTTCCCTGTTTGTATCCCCTTTTTCAACTGCAAAACATTCATTCTTCTTTATTTTGAACATTTTGTTTTACATAAGAAATTCAAGACTTACATTACTATTTTGCTTTTAGATTTGGTCTTATAAGTTCAGTATTGGAGAATGATGGGGAAATCTGAGGACAGATTTTAAAAATGGAATATCTAGAGCCGGGAATCACCATCCTTTGAAAAATGTCAAACTGATACTGTAATTACGCCAGTGGAAGATGAGGACATGTAGCTCTTGGGAAAGCAGTTGCCTAAAGAAAGAATATCTGAAAGTTTTCACACTCACAGTTTAGAGAAGCCTCAGTAAAGAACAACTTTCTAGCTAAGTTTGAGGCTATTTTACAGCCTGGTAGTCTGACACAGTCATCAAGCAGTTCCTCAGCTTGTGACAAATCAAAGCAAGACAGGAATTCTCATTTGTCATATTGGTCAAATTTCTCTCCACATCTTTTATATCCTCCCTCTCTGTGGGACTTGAAGCTTGTTCAGAACCCAGCTGGAGCCTTGTACTTTTGCTCTTCTTAAAACATTGTGATAATTTTATTACTTGAATTTCTGCAGCTTCGCCAACCTTCACAAGATTTCAAATAAAGAACAAAGGATTAAGTGAATGTGCTCTAAAATATTACTTTTTGTCTGTGTGATAAGAGGACCAATGATAACTGTATTTGTTTAACAAAAGCCTCAGTGACCAAATCCTCAGCTTGTCAAACGTTTTCTGAGTACACAGAAGTTTGCAATAGAAGGTAGAAATGCAAGATACATCAGGGTGCCATGAATATATCAGAGGAAGTAACAGACTTTTTCACATTAAGGACAGAAAATGATGCAGCTGTGATCAGTGTGGTATAAAAGGGATCCTCTTCTGTAAAAACGTACCAAAGATACATGTATCAAAGACTCTTTACATTGATACACAAAAGTTACCTAAATGCCTTCTCCTGCCATGTAAAAGGAGATATCAGACTATATTAAGGAATGGTTCTCACATATTCAGTCTGTGAATCCCTGCCTTATAAAACCCGAGCTCTTTTCACAGTACTTCACCTGTCTTCCTACTTTGGTACTTGAAGCTTGATTAACAATTTCAAGGGAAATTTGTTCCACAGAATTTACCCGGCCTCCATTCTTTCTGTTGCTCATATTGCATACCTCTTCTCTGCTTAGTCATTGGTATCACCAAAACTGTGAATAAATTACTTATGACAGGATGTTATTTACACAGTGTCAGGCACAGTGTGATGTTGAGGTACAACCTGCTTCACCCTCGTGGCTGCTCACCACACACCTTTTCCTTGGGGCACCTTGCATTGAATCATGCAGGATACCTGTTGGATGGTTCTGGAATAAGCTTTTTTATTGTCAGTCTTGAAACCATTCATTGTGCTGGACCTCGCAATGTCAGCAGGGCTTTTTTTATTCCCCAGCAGCTGAGAAATTTGAGAGAAGGAGAGTCTCTTGACTCATAGTTATGGAGTAAAGAACTGAGGTGAGGTAAGCCTTTACAACCTCCCACTGTTTGTTACCACTCCTTTCCTGGAGCTAACCACCAAACATCAACAGGTTGGTGAAGAGACAAAGTGCCTCTGCCTCATCCATATGAAATTAAAAATTGATGCCCTGGAGCATGCATAGTTCATGGACAATTTAAGTTAAGATGCTGAAACTGAACAGCTGATCCACTGCCCGTGTTCTGCTCTATCGGCTCAGTTACAAGGGTTACAACGTCCAGCACAGGGGTAGAGCAGACTTGTACACATTCTTAGTGGTATCTGCCAAAATAACCTAGCTATTTTATAATTGTACCAAGGCATCATCTTCTATGTAATCAGCTGACATAGTTGCTGAAGAAATATCGTTTTAGTTGCCAGCATTCTCTACAGTGTGAGATCTCTACAATAAAGAAGAAAAATTAAAACAAACAAACAACAAACCAACAAACAAACAAACACACCCGCCCCCCCCCAAAAAAAAAAAAAAACACAAAAATAAAAAACCCACAACATTTTCGGAAGGCTACAGTTTTGTCACAATACTGTGAATACAGTGAGATTATTGCCAGAACTCAGGAGAGAAATTAGTCACAAGATGTGTGTTATGGGCTTGCATGTCTTATTCTCAGATAAATAGCTCACTGGCACAGCAATCTGTAATATTACTTTTAAAAGCTATAGGGCATGCATGCAAATGTAGGTGGAGCAAAAGTTAATCCTATAAAATGTTTATGGTACAATTAGCAAAACATTCAGTGAAATATAGAATCGCAGAATGGTTTGGGTTGGAAGGGACCTTAAAAGATCATTTAATCCAGTGTCCCATTGGCAGGGACATTTTTCACTACATCAAGTTGCTTAAAGCCTCATCTAACCTGGCCTTGAACACTTCCAATGATGGGGCATCCGCAGCTTCTCTGTACAACCTGTTCTGGTGCCTCATCACCCTCACAGTAAAGAATTTCTTTGTAATATTTATTACCTCTTCCTTGCCTGTCCCTTCTGGTCTGCTTATAGCCATTGATGGCAGCCCTCCAGTCATGCAATTCATATCACCATGTTTCAGTGACAGTGATTAGACTGTAGCTTTCTAGCTGCACGGTGGCTTTCAGCTCCTTCCTGTTTTAAACCCTAATGTCTTTGAAAATTATCATCACAAAGACCAGAACAACTGAAACAGTGATAAGAAGTTCCTGTAACAGAAGTGGATGGATTTTTTGATCAAGTAGTTCAAGGTTTGGCAAGCTGCTGACAGTCTATTGTGTAGTCTGAAAGTCCCGAGAACCTGGAGAAACAGGTTGGGTAGCAGCCCAACAGACAGACATCCTGGCATATCTGGGAACCAAGAGGCTTTCCTCTGGAAACCTGCCATGCTGCTTCTGATGAATTCAGCCTAATCACGCTCTTCTGCAAAACACTTTGATTTCAACAAATTACCCACTTTACCAGAATGAAAAATGCCATGTTGAAAAGCTCCAGCAGGATATCTCCTCTATGATTTAGGCACTTTAAAAACCTTTCCCAAGTGTGTCTTGTTTCTCCTGTATTGCAAGTAAGGCTTTATTAGCACATAATTAGTGCTGGAAAAAGCCTTAGAAGTTCTCAGCCTTTCAGATATGTATAACTCAAATATATATTGAATTCTTCAGGTTTTTATGACAAAAAAAGAGAAATCTTCTGTGTTTTTTACCTAGGGCTTTTTATAAAGCTGAAATTTGTGAAAGAATAGCGTTTCATATGATGCCCTGATATTTCTAT